CTGTGGGGTCAAGGCTTGTTTCTCTAAGGTCTGCTGCTCAGGGGCGAGCTGAACCTATCATTCCTCAGAGTAAAAGAAAAAAGTTAAATCGGAAATTTATAAAAAGGTTAACGACTGTAGAACCTATCATCTTAAAGATTAAAACAACAACTGTTCATAGGTTGAAGTTGATGGCTGAAACTCTCGTGCAGTGGGGACGTGACCCGCATCTCCTCCTGGCCTGTCACTTTATTAGCTCTGTGTACCCCGTGCCGACCACCGAGGCCGTTTACTCATACATAAAATGTCAGAAACAATACCAACTTGGTTTTTCTCAGAGATACGTAAAAGCCCTCTGGGACCGTGGGAAGTGCTCTCTGAATGGGAACACTGAATCCTTCTCAGAATATCTGAGCCGTTATGTTTTCACTTGCTCGGGGTCCCATGTCCAGGTAGGACGATTTTCCACTAAGTATACTCATGCGAAGGCATGTTGATTATTCTCTCCCAGAATATCTGGGTTGTTAGAAATTCTACTGCTTTTCAATAATGTATCCAGTGTGTCTGACCATTTTCTACCTGAAATTAAGCGGCTATGCTGAGCTCATCAGTTGAATACATACGGGAGAACCAATGGAAGACAATCTCTTATGAAAATGCTCCAGTCCACTTGCTCAGATAGACTCAGAGAAAAGCAATCAAGTGAAGAGAAGCAGAAGAAAAGAAATGAGCTTCATTAACGGGAAAGAACTAGGGTATGTCCGCCCAACCCTAACACACCCCTCCGATTATAATTTTTCATGAGGAGACATTGCGCTTAAATAGCCCTATAGGGCTTGAGCCTCCAGAGGGCAGGGTACATGCCGACTTCACAGTGTGGGGAGCTCAACACGCTGAGTTCAAGGTCTTCTAACTACACTGGAGACATTGCAAAGTATCAGTACTTCGGAGATGCCATTAAAAACTTCGCTGGCTTTACAGTCACAACTCACGTATCACAATAATAATTTCAATGACATACTCTAACTTTTAGAAAAGCTGAGCTGGAGCCAATGTCTCATCTGTACCAAAGAGTCAGAAAGTACAAAAGCATGTTGTTTTTTTCTCAGTAGAAGGGATGAATGCTCCTTAAGTAGCCCTAACGCTACGATTTTTCCAGAAATCGTTTTATTTTGCAATTAGCAAAGCATTAAGGAGTGCTTTACAACTGGTTTTTCTTTCTGACCCAGAATTTTGTAGCTAGAATTATCAGACGATTTCATTCATTTTCACAAACGGAATTTTTCAAAATCTGTGCAGGATTTCTCAGCTCTTCTCGTTCAACAGTCCTTTGTCGAGACCGAGCTGAGGGTGTGTCAGGAGACACGACTGTCCCCCATCGAAGACTGAGCGGGACACAGCTCGACAGCTGCCCCGTTGCCCCTCCAGAATTCCAAGTGTCGCTGTGACTCCTCTCTCTCTCCCTCACGCACCCCGACCCACGCATTCACAAAGGCCAGTGGAACCCCTCCGGTCTGTCAACTCCTCTGCTTCCCCACAGCTACCGTCAACTCCTCTGCTTCCCCACAGCTACTGTGGTGACCTTGGGCCACGAGCTGTCCTGCCACCGCATGCGGCAGCCCCGCCTGGTCTTCCTGCCTCGGCCTCACCCCCTCCGCCCTCCGCCTACCACGGAGACTCTGGAGGACAGCCTGACCCCCTCACCCTGCTGCTGACACCTCCCCGTGACTGCCCAGTAGCCCAGATGTGGGATGTGGGGTGAGTCTCAGTCCCTCACCGAAGACGACTCCTGACAGCCGTGAGAATTAAATGGCGTAACGCAAATCCAACCATTCGTGTAAATGAAAAACTACGAGTAACTTCTTTGTCATTATATTAAGAGAAATTTTAATTTAGCAGTCAATTCACTAATTAAGTGGTCAAACATAACTAAATTAACTGAATAACTTATGCCAGGGTTCCCTGGATTCTACAAGCTGTAATGATAAGGTGGTAATATTGATTTTTCTCTGCACTGCGTATCAGAGCTGGTGTCTGAATTCGTGCTCGCGTGGGAGCTGCACCTGCCACACAGTAGGCAATCAACGTCTAAGGAGTCGTCTGTTTATCATCCACCGGCTGGATTTGGTGTTTTGTAGACAGATCTGTATGGCCCTGATTCTTTTTCTTGGAACCCTATCAAATTCCAAATCTATGCCTGAAATTAAGCAGCTTAATAACGGTGTTTCTCATCTTTGTAGAAAAGCAAAATGAAATGCCCACACATCTGCAGGTGTTTATCAGGGGCAGAAATCCTCCAAACAGAATAACGTGCTTTAAGAGTCACCGATCACAAATTAGCGATAACCCCTTAATATCTAGTGAGCCGTCACAGCTGCATGTTAGGGACCGCTGGAGTTTTAAGAATCCCAGAGACATTCCTGAGTCATCACAGACGAGTCCTGTGCCCCCGAATGAAATGAAACCTCTAATGCAGTGAAGACCAATAAAAAGAAGCATAAGACCAATTTTCTCAGAAAAAGAATTAGTAAAATAATGAAAACAGGAAATGGCGTCAAATGTTCAGATATTTGGGAAAGTTACCACTGCCTAGTGCCTTATATCACAGCTGCACTGGAGTCCAGTAAAATGTGGTGACGAAGCCAACACTGCCCTACCAGGAAGAGGCGCTGTCAGAGTTACTGTCCGCATAGCGCGGTGACAGGCACATCGCAAGTGTCCCCTGAATGTTTGCCGATTAAATTAATTAACGAAGGAGATTCAGGTGCTCTTCTGTGGCTACTATTGTGAATTCGGAATCTTTTAGTATTAGTGCTATTTAAAATAATCAGTCTCATAATGATTTTTCCAATGAACTCAGAGTATTCACAGTACTCACATATACTCTGTAGTAACGTCCTACGAAACACAAGCAATGCATTCCACAACCCTTCCGTCTCCAAGAACAGTCTTTGAAATAGAGCGTTTGCTGAGGTCCAGCCAGACTGTGCAGGAGTTCTGGGATACTGGGATTTGGGACTTTACGCGAATGCCTGTGGATGTGGCGAACACGTGACACGGTGGCTCGACTGCCCCTCCCAGCCTCATGACAGACGTCGGTCATCAGTCACAGCCCTGTTTCCATCAGCCTGAGACTCATCCCCACGTCGGTTCCCACGCAGCGTCCTACACGGCCTCTGTCAGCCACTTCAGATACTCCCTTAACAAACATCACTGAGTTCTCCCCATGTGCCAGGCGCTGTGCCAGGGAGGCACGCCGCAGGTAAAAGTCACCGAAACAGACATGGACCGTGCCCTCATGGGGCTTAGACTGACAACTGATTTGACACCCGCGGTAACGGTCATTTGCCAGATCTACTTTGTCGTGTGGTTGAAATGGAAATAATTCTGAGTCGCTCAGTTTCTCTTTCATTATCGAAGGGGACTGAAGAAGGTGGGCTCCACGTTCTCTACCTCTGGTTTCGTCAACCCGTGAGGTCTGTGAACAACACTACAGGAGTTAAAGGTGAGAGCAGCTGGCCTCACCTTATTTTTTAGAGAGAGAAAAAAAGATGGTCTTCTTTTACTCACTTATTTGACTCACAAGTCAGACTCTGATAAACCCATAGGAGGAAGTTTTATGAGAATTTTAGTAGGAATGAATTTTACTCTGCTCCCCTAGAAAGACAGGAAAACAGTGGGCTTTTCCTCCACGAGCGCCAGAAACATAACCTGCTACGTGGAACTAGAAAAAGCAACAGATGGCTGCATGTCACTGTCGGGCTCTGAGTCCGCTTCCTCCCCGAGCCACACACACGCCTCTGAAAGCCCCACGTTAGCTCTGCACCTCCCCGGCCAGCTATCAACCCCTCCTGGAAGAGCGCAAAACATGCAAACGAGAGTTTGGAGAGGCAGGCACGGAAAAGTGGCTCGGTCTAAATCAGGCTGGTGAGAGCTGAAAGGGCATTGCCACCGACACCACACAACTGTCCCGCTGTCTCCCCAGACCAGTCCTGACTCTGACGGTTACATAGCACGCCTGGGGAAAACGCTGGCTAGCTGCCTTATTTCAAAAATTAAAAAAGGATTCCCACCAAAACGTAACTCTGTGCGATCGCCAGTTCTTTAAGTCACTTGGATGTGGCCCCGCCAGGTGAATTTAGGCTCTCGATCCTGATGGTGGATTTTTTTTATTTTGTTTTCTAACTTGATTTTGTGTCCGAAGTACCTAAAAATGTCGCCTTGTTTTCTAGAGCCTCTTTATTGTTGTTGTTGTTGTTTTTTAAAATCCCTCGAAAAGTTTTGGAAATTGGCTGAAACTAAACAAGAAGGAACCAATCGGCAGGGCCTCATTCCTCCCCAAGGATCCATTTCTGTTGTCAACTTAAATTTCTTTAAGGCTTCTGCTTTTCTCCCCACTGAATGTCAGTTTAGTTATTTTTGTTTATTCTCTAAGGAGGAGAAACCATACCCTAAAAATTATCATGGAAAAATGATTTCTATTTATCTTTTGCCCTTTTCACTATATAAGGGCGCATGCAACTCTTATATCATTATAATACTTGCTTAAGGAACAGGAAATAATACAACATCATCAAATGGAACCAATTTTGTAACATTCAAGAGACATCAGCAACGTAACATTCATGAATTTAGTAGAAAAAACAATACAATTGTGTTAAGGGACAATAAAGTCTCGTATTCCGTTTTGGGCTTCTCAATAATTAAGAGGTAGAACTAAGGTCTCGTCATTCGTTTATTCATCCAGCGACGTGCCAGACACTAGGTGCTACGGATACAGTGGCGGACAAAATAGACAAGAATCTCTCCCTTCAGGGAGCATACAGTCGACCGACTGGTCCTTGGAAATTAGAATTAAAACCGACACTCAAGAAATGCATTCAAAATGCATTCCGCGAGTTTCTACAGCGAGGCTCGAACCTCTTACGTGGCCTCTTTCTGTCACAGGCCAGGGAAGGCCCCCTTTCCAGTGGTCCACTGTGAAGCTACAGGAAACAGGACGTAGGAAATGGAAGTCTTACCATTAATAAATATATAGGTCGTAGATTCTGTTTCCTCCTTCGAAGCAGGTGTAGAGAGATATTTGCAGCTATAGAAGCCAGTGTGGTTTGCCTGGGCCTCGGTCAAGTTCAGAGTACTGCAGAACTGCTTGCCATTGCTCCCACAGGCATACTGAGTTATGCTCAGCCTTCTGCTCTCCTTACTCACGGTTTCAGGCAAAGACCAGGAGTGGGCTGCTTTCCCCCTGCAACCACAGATAAGGAAGCGAAGCACGGTTAGGGAGGGGCCAGTTCCCAGGCCTCAGGGCATTAGGGACCGCTGTTCTGAGGTCCTTTCTTAAGTGTAGACCCCCGGTTCTTTAGAGAAACGCCACATATCTAGAAAAGCTTTCCAACAGCTCAGAGTGAAGATGCAAAGTCCTTCCAGGCGACCCTTCCCCGTCTCCTCTTGAGTGAGTGGGTCTCTCCCGCAGGCGAGTCACCCTCCAGATGAGGCAGGACGCGCGTGCTTTGCACTTTTCGAATCACCACGGACCACCGAAGTCCCTACCTTTCCACTCTGAGAGGCAGCCTTTCCCTTCCACCCGCCTTGGGAAGATGCAGCTAGCTTCCCCCGAAACGGGCGCTTACCTGCACGTGAGATGCAGCGTCTGGCCTGCTTGCAAGACGTGCTGGGTGCCTTTTAAACTCAGTTCAGGACTTTTCAATTTTGAACCCGAACTAGATCCTGGAAAACAAAAGTTTTGACATGAATTATTTGCATGTTGTCCTCTCATCTTTTTTTTTTTTTAAGTTATATCTTTCCATAAAGGTGACTTTTCGTCTTTAACTCACTTGCCTATGCAGAAAGGTACATCTAATACAAGCTCCTCTTGATTCTCTGATTTTTCCCTTCCAAGTCTTGACCATGAATATTATCTATCCTATGATTCCAAATGAGCCACATAAGATCCAAAAGCCCATTTGGAACATTAACAACATCAGACGTGGTTCAAAACGCAACTATATTAAGAATATACAGCAGCTTGTTAAAAACCCTCAGGATAAAACGTCGATGGCGGGTGAAAGCTAGTTCCAAGCACCAGTGCGGGTCGCCTGTGTACACGGCCTGAACGCTCAGTGCAGAAAGCGTCCTGGGTTCGCTCCAGACGCAGCTGAGTCATTAAGTGGAGCCACGATATTTCGGGCGAGTCATTTCTCTTTCCGAATCAGTTTCCTCATTTGGAAAAGTCATTCTAGAACCAAAATCAGTTTCAGAAGCCATTTGGTCAGCCTTACATAATCTCCGAGTTTCTTCTGTCATGAAACAGAAAAAAGGGAACCGCTCGCTCCTACGTGACATTTGACAAGTGTGTTTCGTGGGGGTGGTTGCAGGACAGTGAAGCGAGCTCTGTGAGAGGACCTCAAATCGATACCCGTCCACATTCCATCCTGCCCGCCGGCTGTGTGACCCCAGACAGGTCACCCCTCTCTCTCCCCACAGCTCAGGTGATTGATATAAATTAATATTTTTACAGTGACTTATATACGATAGACTCTGGTATCAAATTATTACTGGGGAAAAGTGCTTTAACATGAGCATTTAGTTTAATTTAAATTAAAATCACCGTTTCATATACATACAGTCGGCCTGCCACATAACCCCTAGGCACCTAGAAAAGCACTCTGGACTCTGGTCACACTTATGTGTTTCCCGGGGCAGCATCCAGCTCAAGGTCAGGGACCCTGGGAACACCAGGTTTTCCCAAAGCCACGGCCAGCAGTTGTTAACGCCCACCCTGAGACTCACCCAGGCCAGAGTCACTCCTGCGCCTCTGTGTGGTATGGGATTCTGGGGATTTAGCTGAGCAACTGTGCGTGTGCTGGAAAAGACCCAGCACAGCTTCCTGTGGAAGATTCTGGCATTACTTGCAGGTGCTCTGTGAGGCGGTGATGAGCCCGCTCATCCAGGCGAGGCCTTGGGGAGAAACCCTTTTCACTACTGTCCACCGCTTTGATTTCCAAACCGTATGGGTCCTACTTTTTTTTCCCCTTACGATAATCATTATTATTCTGGCATTTTCCAAACATGGTTGACATAATCTAAAACAGCCTTCACCCACCCTCACAAAACCAGAGAGTAGGATTTGGCATTTGCAGTATGAATCTTTCTTTATCAGCATCCGAAACACCAGGAATCCTGACCTGCATCAAAGTTAACCTTTGACCTCAAAGGACCACCCAGATGCCAGCTGAGAGCCGATCCCTTAAGGAATATGCCATCTGCCCGGTCCTCCGTCCCATCCTCCAACCAAAACAAGACAACACAGCCGAGTGGTTAAATAAGACACGGAGACAAAAATAGGATTATTGGAAAGTATGGGCGGAGGGGGGAGGCTAAAAAAATGTTTTGCTGCATGATTCGTCTCCGCTTCCAGCGATGAATTTCGCACGTGGAATGGGGAAGCTAGATAAAAGTCGATTAACATCAAGAAGCGGGGAAGTCTAAGGAAGTGATTTCTAAGTGACGGGCTGCAGAGTGCATCACCATTCCTCAGCTAATAAGAAACTAGAGTCTCATAAAGATCGATGGCGGTGCCAAGACGTGGTTTAACAGGAAAACTAACATAGCAAGGAAATAGGAAAGCGAAACATCTATTCTTCAAATGGCATTCGGCCTTCAGACATTTCTCTGCGGCCGCCGAAGGCCGTGTGAGTAATACGGGTGTAACGAGCGTGTTTTGAGTTTCTACTGCATGTCAGGTAACTCGCTCCGTCTCAGCGGAGATACATCTGGAACTAGAAATACGTACATGTCCACAGAGCAGCCATCGTCCACGCCACCTGCAGTCAGTAGCTCGGAGTCACACTGCCCGTTCAGAAACAAATCCGCAGGAGACCTCATTTCCAAGGGCGGGGTGCCACAATTTAACAATGACTCCCCCATTGTGAAGCTCGGGTGGGACCCAAACATTCCCCTGTTTGCCACGGTAGTCTGCGGGTCTGGGTTAAAAGACTCATTGTCCCCTCATTGAACTAGGTGGTCTGTGAACTATTGTTTTCATCAAAGTCAACTACAATATAATCAGAAGGGACAAAGAGGTCTCCTTATATCAGGAAAAGTATTATTTAAATAAAACAACAACAACAACAACAACAAAACCCTCAGCGTGGACCAAGGAAATGGGCTTTATCACGTGCTCCTTTTTAGGAAAAAAACCCGAATAGGCAGCACAGAATAGCATGGAAGACCCAGGATGTGTCTGCGGACTCACATGAACGCTGACACTGAGCATGGTCTGTCAGGTCAGCATCACCTGGTACATACAAAACGGACAGAACTTCACGACTGACAAGCCTTGTCTCCCGACCCAGCCTCCGGTGGAAAACCCACACGACTGTCCTATAGTGCCACGGCCCTTATTTACAGCCAGACCCAAAGCCCAAATGATTGAGGCTCTTTCTTCAAAGCTGCCGTGCTGGATCCTGAGAGCCTGAGCGAACCACACGCGGCGTGTCATTTTAAGGTCCTGTTTCTTCCAGATGCCATCACCCCTTTGCTTCTGCTATGCGGAAACGCAGGGGTTACTCTCTGTGAGAAAGGGGCCTATTCAAATACAAATCATGAAACGCCCACGTTTCCGCTTTTTATTTAGTCACTAATCTCCCCAGCTCTGCTGCTGACTAGCTGTTGTGACTGTGGGCGCGTCACATTAAGCCTCAGATTCTTGACCTGCCAACAGAGGGGGCTGGACTTAGATATTTACAATCCCTTCCAGCCTAAGAATTCTGGGATTCTGAGAACACAGTAACTGCTATCAAAACCACAAGTTAGAAGTCACATTTAAAAGATACTTACGACTAATAAAAAAGACAAAGACCTCGATTTGACAAATGGACAAAGGATCTGCATAGACGTTTTCCCAAGGAAGACGTATAAATGGCCAATAAGCACCTGGAAAGATGCTCGACATGACCAGCCATCACAGAAGCGCAAATCAAATGAGACACCGCTTCACACGCACGGGAGCAGCTGTACTCAAAAAGGCAGACATGAACAAGCGCGGGCGAAGATGCGGAGAGACTGGGGGCCTCAGACATTGCTGGCGGGATTGCAAAATGGTGCGATCGCTTTGGAAAACGGTATAACAGTTCCGCAGATGGTCAAACGAAGCTTAAACAAATGGCCCAGGAATTCCACTCGCGGGGATCTACCCAAGAGAACTAAAAACACACATCCATACGAAAACTCGCCCATGGCAACACACGTGGAAGCAACCCAGCTGCCCACCAATGATAAATGGATAGACAAAATCAAAAATCACTGCGCTGAGTAAAAGCAGCCAGGCACAAAGGCTGCCTATCGTACGGCCCCGTTTTTATGAAATGTCCAGAATGGGCAAATCCGCACAGACGGCTGCTAGGTCAGTGCCAGGGGAGGGGAGCAATGGAGAGTGAGCGATGATGGACCCGAGCTCCTTTTTGGGGTGATGAAACTGTTCCGAGGTAGCGGTGAGGTTTGCACAAGTCTGCGACTATTAATTATACAATTTATACAATTTAAAGCAGTGAGTTTTATGGCATGCGAATTTTATCTCAATAAAGCTGTTACGTAAACAACCTCATGACTAAAGTAATCACGGAGTTAAGCTGAAGGCCTAGAGTATCAAGCTGTTTTGAAATTTGTTGTCACATACGACCCCATTGGTGTTAGATTTTTTACTCATTTTTCCAGCTAAAAGCTTTAGAAGGCTGATTTTAAAGAAATTATTTTTCCTTCAAGTTCAAGAACATCACTATGTATTCAAAGTTTTACATACTGCAGAAATTCACTGTGTCCCTAAATTACGATCTTTTAAAGTTACATTTAAATCACATTTTATTGCATGTTTTGAATTTTCACTGAATTTGTGTACAACAGATTTTTATTGACAGATAAAAATCATATTAACAAACCGAGTCCTGTTGAAAATTTGGTCATGAGACCTCTGAAGGACTCTACTGGGTTCCTTCTATATCAAAATTACTGATTTCTAATGCACTTGTTTTTAACACAAAACCTTGTATATCAGGTTTATTTCAAATGAGATGCATCTGTCTTTGATTTCGCCTACCATGTGTTCAATAATACATAATCCTACATGATAAATGATCTCTTTATCTAAATAGAAAGCCCCAAGTATCATGTTTCTAAAATCTGACTTTAAGATCATGAGTCTCTCCCAAGGTTGTGTGAGGTTAATTGAGCATAATTCATAATAAAAGAAGATATTCTTTCCTCGAGATGTAGCTTATTAAAAGCTTATGTCCCATAGACTACATCTCATAGGATTTTCCACTGGTAGCAGGAGCGGGAGGAAGGTGAGGGGTACACTCGCTGGGGAGCCAGATCTCCAGAAAGGACCCAAATTTTTGTTTGAGCTGCTAGTTCCCACGAGGCTCCAGCATTTCACAAAGGTTACACCTTGGTCTGGCCCCTGAGTCATGCCTCTTTTAAAGCGTTGCCCAGATGCTGCCAAGTGCCCATTAGGGCCGGATGCGTGAGAATGAGTGCCTTGGGTGAAGCCCACCACTAGCTGGGCCGACAGGCACTACACCTCAAAGGCGAATGTCATCACATGCGTCTTCTCTCACTTCTGGGTGATGGAGAAAAGACCAGAGGGCCAGCGTTCACCTACCAGCAGACTCAGCGGGAGGCGGGACAGCCGGGGGAACTCCTCACAGCAGCCGTGTAACTCGGGTCCCCATCAGCCAATGGTGTTAGTTTTATTTCTCCCCCTCCAAGACCACTGGCCTTAAATCAAGGAGGCAC